ATCCGTCGGGCTGCCCAGTTCAACTATTTTATCCCGGGGAGAACGAAGAAGGTCCGCCCCCCACCAAAAAAAAATCTAAAAAATCCTAAGCTACCAGATGGGCTGATCGGGTCACCTGGTTCTCCCAGGCGGCCTGACCATGTAAGGACCAGGAAAAGTCCCAAAACAAAAACAATCCTAAAAATATAAAAATAAACTATGTTATACTAAGAAAGATCTTAATGACCGGGCAGTCACCCAGATACCTGGGTATGAAAAAATAAATAAATAAAAATGGCGGTGTGTTTTTTCGGCACTCTCCGAGAGGAGTCAAAATCCGACCTCTTTTGTTTTTTTTAGAGTTCGCTTTTAAGGGGGAGGAAGGGAAGTATAAATGAATTTTAAAGGGGCTATCGGGGTTTAAAGGAGAGTGCCTTAGTGTGATTTGTTTTTTATTTAATCTTCAAGTTCGGTGAGGTATTCATATGTGAACCTCAACCAAAAGTTGTTTATATTGCAATTCTACACAATGTATTTTTTTGTATTTTTTTTATTTTTTTTTTTGGGTTGAGGATGCCCGGACCCATGCCCGACGGTCATGCTCGATCAGTCATCTAGTCGCCAAACCGAGCGTGACGTCGAGATCCGGAAGCCCGGAATATCTCTGTAGTGTTATGGAGAAAAATAAATTGAACAACCTTTGTCTTAGGGTCAAATTCAAATTCTTTACAAAATTTAAAATATACAAATATATATATATTTTTTGCTTTTTGTTTCTTAACCGGTCGGGCAAGTGCTATAAGGCCCGTTTGGTAGCTCATAAAAATTCATAAAAAATCTATGTTTTGGAAAGAAATAAATTGAACAACTTTTGTCGCATGATCACTTCAAAAATTTTTACCTTTTTTTTTTTTTTTAGCCCGATGGAGCAACTGGTTTCATGTCACTGTAGTAGTCTAACTTTCTATTTATTTTTTAATTATTATTATCCAGGTTACCAAAGTGGTTGGGGATTATTTCTCCGACCGAACCAAAAAAAAGTATATAAAAAAAATGAATATGTTTTTGTATTCTAAGTTTATGTAAAATTTGGTAAAAAGTTTTGATATGACCCTGAGGCGAAAGTTGTTTACTTTATTTTTTTGCATAATAAACTTTTTTTATGATTTTTTTTTTTTTTGTCCTCGCATGGTTGCGACGCCCGGAAAACAAGGTGACTTGGGCGGGTGACTGATATCCTAGTTTATTAATTATATTGATTTAATTTTTATTTTTTTCTATCCACTTCAATGCTCAAATTGTCATTTATATGAAAAAGATTTAAAGTCGAAGTAATGCAAAAATTATTGATGGTTGAATGAAGGTCGGAGTGAATTATTTAGTTTAAGTAAAAAAATTATGATTTTTTTTTTTTAATTACTTGATGTAGTTTACTATTGCACAAATATTGTAGTCATATTCAACAATGATGTTTACTTTCTCTTTCACAATATAAACTATCTCAAAGAAGAAAGACCATGTGCGTTTTTGCTTGTGTTATATAAATTACTTGTTTTAGCTTGAATGGTAAAAGTAACATCTCCAATAAATAAAAAACTTTAAATTATCGTAAACAAATATTGATGGTTTGGTAAAAATGAGAGTGAATTACTTAATGAAAGTAAAAGAGTTACAAAGTTGTTTTGTTTATTGAGAGATTGATAAAGATAATACGAATGGAGTATGAAAAGTGAAATATTATTTAAAATATTTGTTTATATCCCTTAGACAAGATATGTCTAAAATGTTTGTAATATCTTTATGGGTCTATGGAGCAGTAATGAAAATAAGTGTTACAATAATTTTGTTACTAAGTTGTTTTTTTAAATGAAGTTGAAGTTGATATGTGAGAAAATGAGTACACGATAATGGTTTTGTGAAATTGGAAAAATAACATAATATAGGCAAAGTGGGCCAAGTGTTATGTAATACCTAAGAATAAGGATGTGAATACGTATTCTCCTATTAGCCGATGCGTTAATAGAGCACCCAAATGTGCAAGTCATCATGTAAGGAAAAACTAAAATTACTTAATAAAGTATTTTTCAAACACTTGACATGTAAGCATGTGAACCGTAAGTGATTTGAAAGAGTAATTACAAAATTTAATCGGTAAGGCAAGTTGCTGGGAAACGGGGATATAAATGATTAAGTAGGTAACTGGTTTATTTGAGCAAAGTATGTAAGATGCGTATTATTAATATTATTGGAAATTTTATTTGGTACGAATTTTAAAAATGGATAAGTAGGTAACTGTTTTTTTCGAAGCGTAGGATGAACAATGTTAAACCACCAGTACCTATCCCAACTAGAAAAAAAAATCCCAGCACGTTAACGACCGAAACTTTTGGGGGTCGAGCAGGAAAACGCTCGGTAGTTTCCCGCACACTTGTTTTTTTCCAGGAAACAAAAAACAAAAAAAATGAAACAAAGAAAAAAAAATCCTACTTAAAAAAAAAAACAAAGAGAGAGAGAGAGAGGGCGTGTCAAAGGACACGAAATGTTCAAAACGAGAATGAATCTTCCGCCAAACTTCTCATTTTGCACATTCGTGGAGGGGATATATATATATATAAAGAGAGAGAGAGAGAGAGGGAGACGAAAACGACGCGTTTGCTGCACAAAGAGTGACGTCGTTCACTCCGCAGTGGCGCAACAAACGTATTGTGTTTTCAACTCTCTCGCTCTCACGGCGCAATGCAGTCCCTTTTTCTTGCTTTCGTTTTCCTTTTTCCTTTTTTTTTTATATGTTTTTTTTTTTTTTTTTTTTTTTTTGATTTTGTTCACAATTATGATAAGCAAATTTTGATGTCCTCGAAGTACCGACACCTGTGGGCTCGTCACGGTAGGCCTACCGGTAACTTTAGGCTCGGGCTTGACAACCGGTCGGTAGGTACTGGCGGTTTAATATTTGAGGAAAAGTTTATTTTCCGCGTGGAAAAATAGAGAAAACTAACAGTTTTCCCAAACTCCTGAATATTCGGAGGTCGGGCCCGACGACGACTACCATTGATAAAGCTGATCGGCGGCCATCATTTCGTTTCGGCCTCTGAAAAGGTCGGACTCCTACCCGAGGCCCGCTATTTTCCCACGCGGCAAAGGTACTAGTGGTTTAAGAAAAAAACGTAGATGAGGATATTTTTCCTCGTTGTTTTCACGCAACTTCACTGTGAGGGTATAACCATGGCATTGTGATATTGGGCATATCTAAACCTCAAATTATGGGCCTGTGATATTGGGTATATCTAAACCATGGCACAACATAAAGTTGTCCAAGTCCCTGGCCCCTGGGACAAGAGGGTAGCTTTCCTTGGTGCAAAGCAAGTTCTCCGGGTTTGAACTCCACTACTCTTCTCCGATGCTGTCACATTGTCCACGTTTTGTCACGTTTCGTGAGTGCTGTGAGGCCCTCAGAGCATACACTAGGGTAGGACTGCCCCCCGGCCTTACATGTCAAGTGTTTGAAAAATATGTATTAGCCCATGCGTTAAAAGAGCACCCAACGCTCGGTAGCTTTCCGCACACACTTTTTTTTTTTCCAGGAAACAAAAAACAAAAGAAATGAAATTAAGAAAAAGAAAAGAAAAGGAAATCCTACTTAAAAGAGAGAGAGAGAGAGAGAGAGAGAGAGAGAGAGAGAGAGAGAGAGAGAGAGAGAGAGAGAGAGAGAGTCGAAGGACACCAAATGTTCAAAACGAGAATGAATCTTCCGCCAAACTTCTCATTTTGCACATTCGTGGAGGGGATATATATATATAGATAGATAGATAGATAGATAGATAGATAGATAGATATAGAGAGAGAGAGAGAGAGAGAGAGAGAGAGAGAGAGAGAGAGAGAGAGACCCGACGAGTTAGCCGCGGGAGTCCGTGCAACTCGCTGGTTTTCTCTCTCTCTTCTCTCTCTCTATCTCTCCCCTCCGCGCATTGTGAAGTGCAAAAGGAGAAAAAATCTTGGCACATTCACTGAATAATTCATTATCGTTCTTCTCTCTCTCTCTCTCTCTCTCTCTCTCTCTCTCTCTCTGCACATTCCGTTGTCCAAAACGAGAATGAGCCTCGACACGAACACCCGATTCCATTTTGCAAAACGAGATTGAATCTTGCCGTGAACGCGCCAAGGTTCATTCTTGTTTTGTACTTGACAATGCACAAGAGTCGCAAACAACACAAATGAGGAAAAGCCAAAAAAGAAACATACGTGGAGAGAGAGAGAGAGAGAGAGAGAGAGAGAGAGAGAGAGAGAGAGAGAGAGAGAGAGAGAGAGGTCAGGCCCGACGACGACTGCCATTGATAAATCTGATCGGCGGCCGTCATTTCGCTTCGGCCTCTGAAAAGGTCGGACTCCTACCCGAGGCCCGCTATTTTCCCACGCGGCAAAGGTACTAGTGGTTTTAAAAAAAAATGTCGATGAGGATATCTTTCCTCGTCGCTTTCACGCAGCTTCACTGTGAGGGTACAACCATGGCATTGTGATATTGGGCATATCTAAACCTCAGATTATGGGCCTGTGATATTGGGCATATCTAAACCATGGCACAACATGAAGTTGTCCAAGTCCCTGGCCCCTGGGAGAAGAGGGTAGCTTTCCCTGGTGCAAAGCAAGTTCCCCGGGTTTGAACTCCGCTACTCTTCTCCGATGCTGTCACATTGTCCACGTTTTGTCACGTTTCGTGAGTGCCGTGAGGCCCTCAGAGCATACACTAGGGTAGGACTCCCCCCCCCCTTTTCTCCCCCGCCCCCCCCCCACCAAAAAAAAAAAATGTCCACACCAGGACTTTTTCGACTCCGCTCTGGACGTAACTACGGTCAGGCACGCTACGACTTTTTTAACTCAGCTGTGGACGTAGTTACGGCCAGGTACATCTATCAGGGGCCGTAGTTACTGGCAGATTCATTTAGGAAGTCCTACCTTAGTGCGAGTACTATTTGAGCTTGGGCTCTATGGGGGAGGACGGCTCTTTGTGACTTTTTGGCGGGTATCACGCGCAACAGTTTGCAAGGAAGGAGTTGTGCCCGGCCGCGGGAGGTTCTGTGGGAGCAGGCCATGGGGAGGATGACACGTGTCCTTCCTCCGGTGGCCAGCTGGCGAGAGAGGAGAGAGAGGAGAGAGAGGTGGTTGGCACCGAGTACGGACGGCGGGGAAGGAAGCCAGCCGCGAGGAAGGGACGGTGACGCTTGGGCTGGGAATGCCAAGGCAGGAAGAATCTGAATTGCAGCAATCGCCATAGCCAAGAACTTGCTTGTCTTCATCATCATCATCATCGCCATCGCCATCGCCATCGCCATTGCTGTAGGCGACAGTTAAAAAAAATGGCTTCGGGGTGGAGGCTAATGCGCGGGCTTCGTGGAGTCGCGGCCGGGATTGCGCAGGAACGGTTGTGCGCGCGCTACGGCGGTGGCTTGCCGCCGCTGCCGCCGCCACCCGGCGGGTTGCGCGCATCGCCCGCTTCGGTTCCGCCTTTGAGCAGATGGAGACCGTTTTCGGGTGAGCACAGTGGCTATCGCTTTCTTCCATCGCCATTGCCATCGCCATCGCCAACCTCTCTCCTTGTTCTCCCATCCCCGAGCTCTTTCCTCCATCACCTCACCTCTCTCGCCCTTCACCAGTCTCTCTCTCTCTCCCTCGTCTCGTCTTCCTCCTCGGTGAACCACGACGTACTTTGAGCTTGCTGCCATTGCGTGCATTCATGGAGAAGGAGAGGAGGTGTTGAGCGGAACATTGTGGGGGATCGGTGGGAGGACTGGATGAGACATAGCGTGTGCCCAACAAATAACCTGCAGATCTATTACCGTTTTTTTTTTTTTTTTTTTTGTGTCTGTGTGTTTGCATTTGGATTTGCATTTGGCTTCTGGATTTGCATTCGGATTTGGATTTTCATTTGGATTTTGGATTTTGGATTTGTATCTGGATTTTGGATTTGGATTTGGATTTGGATTTGCATTTGGATTCGGATTTTGGATTTGGATTTGGATTTTGGATTTTTGGATTTTGGATTTTGGATTTGGATTTTGCATTTATGATTTTATTTTATGTTTTTTTTTTGTCTGCGGGTGGAAGGTGAGAAAGAAGAAGGAAATGAGTATATGTAGGGTTTAGGGTAGGGAACAGGCGAAAGCCGAAAAAAAAAAAGAAAAAAAAAGAGGGGGGGGGGGGGGGGGGGGGGGGGGGTAGGGACACAGTGTGTATCTAAAATTGCGGAAAACGACAAAACAAAACTGCATTAGAAGTAGGATTTGTCTGCGTGTTAAAAAAAAAAAAAAAGAGGAGGAGGAGGAGTTTTTCCAATTGCATTTTTGCACTTACATTTTCGTTTGCCTGCCGGTGGTGGGAGGTGAGCAAGAGGGAGGAATAACATTTTAAGGGAGAAAGAAAAAAACAAAGGGAGGGAGGCGCGTTGGGGTTTTTAGGGTAGAGAAGAGGAGGGGCGGGTGGGCCTGGGGGGGGGGAGACGGACGCGCGTTGGACATCGCGATGGCCGACACGTGGCTACCGTTTTCCCCCGAAGAAGACGAGCGGTCATTATAGCGGGGTCATTATTAGAGTAGCTAGCTGTATCTATCTGGGACAACAACTTTCCGCCTAGATGCAGCAGCAATAATGACCGTACGTTCGGTTCAGGTGAAGTAAGTAGAATGGGATGATGTTCAGAAGGGGGTTAAGATGGCAACATGCGCATGTCTCTTTTTGTTTTTTTTTTCGCACGTTTTTTTTGTTTTTGTTTTATGCACCCAGTTCTCACGCGGAACGTGACTTGCGCGTCTCCGTCCTGCTCTTTACCGTCCCCGTCCTCTTCTTCTTTTTCTTCTTTCTCCTTCTCTTCGTCGCAATTGTCCTCCTCCTCTTCCTCCTCCTAATCGACTTTCTCCTCCTCCTCTTCCTCCTAATCGACGTCCTCCTCTTCTCCCTCCGAATCACCTCCTCCTCCTCTTCCTCCGAATCGACCTCGTCCTCGCTCTGTATTTACTACCGTCTTCACCCAAATAGAACGCCCGGTCGTTAATGCTGTATATTTGTCACAACTTTCAGTCCAGATACTGTGTATAATTACCGGGCGCCTTATTGGGGTGAAGACGGTATTTCTTTGTCGTTCTCCTCCTGGATTCTTCTTCTTCTTCTTCTTCTTCTTCTTCTTCTTCTTCCCCCCCCCCCCCTCCTCCCCCCCCCTTCCCCTCCTCTTTTTCCTTTCTTGAGTCTTGCTCCTACCGGTAGTCGAGCCTCGTGTTCCTCACTTTCCTTCCTCTCCCTTTCTCCTCTCCCCTTGTTCTCGCTTCACATAAGGCTCTTGGCTTTGTTTCCTCTTCTTTCACCTGCTCCCCATTCCCCCTCCGAAACCGTCTGCTGCTGCTGCTGCTGCTCCGCCTCCTCCTCCTCCTCCTCCTCCTCTTCTTCTTCTTCTTCTTCGTCTTCTTCGTCTTTTGATTCTCCTCATTATCCTTTCTTTCTCCGCCTCCCTCCTCTCCTCTCTTAACCTCCTCCTCTTGGCTTTCTCCAACCTCTATGTGCGTCCCCCCTGCCCCCCCCGCCCCCCTTTCTCCAATTCTGCTCTGAATCCACCTGCTTTCAATGCCACTCGATCTGGCAGTCAATCAGGCAGTCAATCATCAATCAGGCAGTCGATTAGGCAACGACTCAGACAATAGATCGGATGACAAGGTTGGCAATCAATCGTGCAATCAACAATACAATCAGTCATTGCATCGAACAATCAGTCCTATCAGCCAATCAATCAGGCAGTCAATCAGGACGTCAATCAGGCAGTCAATCAAGCGATCAATAAGGCAACCAATCAGGCAATCAATCAGGAATCAATCAGGCAATCAATCAGGAATCAATCGGGCAATAGTCAGGCAGTCAATCAAGAAGTCGATCAGACAATCAGACAATCAATCAGGCAAGCAATTGTATAACGAATGGGGCAATCAAGCAAGCCACGAAGTGGAAAAATTCTTCAGCAGGCAATCACTCGAATATTTAATTTGACATTCAATCAAGGCAGGCAATCAAAGTAGTAGTGAACAGACGACTCATCAGGCATGCAGTCAGACCCTCAATCGGATAATCAATTACGCTATTCAGTCAATCAGGCAATCAATCGCGTCAGACACTCTAAAAAGCACTATATACAGGCAGTCAGTCAGAAAGCAATAGATCCACAGTCAACTTGAACTAAGCGAACCAATCAATCAATCAATCAATCAATCAATCAACCAATCAATCAATCAACGAACCAACCAATTGACGAACCCATCCATCCAATAACCAACCAACCAATCAACCAACCAACCAACCAACCAATGAACCAACCAATCATCCACCAACCAGCCGACCAGCCAACCAATCCATTGTCCATCCATTTGTTATGTACCCGATTGAAATTCAATCCACAACGAATTCACACGTTCCCATGCACGCATGCAATTACAGAGTAGGCTCGAAGGAGGCAAATCCACACAAAACCGGAGAGAAGATATGCACAGCGGAAGCTCAAAATACACATGAGAGAAATGAAAAACGACAATTTCAATTCTGCAATCCCTCGTCCTCCAATCAATCCAGAAGAGTACTTGTTCCAATAATCACAACCTCGTTTACAACAACCCCGAACAACCAAAAACACGTGTTTGCATGCATGCATGCAGGAGTCTTCTTCTTCTTCCTCCTCGCCACGTCATACCCCTCCCTGGCTATGGCTGCCGTACTACTGTAGCATCAGTACCCCCCACAGCTGTCACACCGTGCCAATCTGAACTCATCAACCCCAATCAATGGTAGCAGCGCTAGCTCAGCGCCCGCACGAAGAAAAGTGCAGCGCTGGAAGTCCTGATGAAGAAGGAGACAACCGATCCACCACTTGGAAGAAGATGGAGTTCCTCGAGAGGAGGAACCATAAACAAGATATGGCTGCCAAGTGAAAAAAAAAAACCCGTCAGCGCCCAAACCCAACAACACACAACACAGTGCTTGGGCAGCTCTCATGCAGAGCTGCAAAATCGCAGCCGTGCGATCTTCAACTTCGTTCGTTTCCCAATCCCAACCCCAACCCCAACCCCAACCCCAACCCCAACCCCAACCCCTGTAACTCGTGTATTTTGCTTCTGAGTGCTGCGCAGCTATGGCTGGGCTTCGAGGAAGAAGAAGAAGATGACCGGCGGCCAAAGTAGTAGAGCAGAAGTACTCCAACAGCGGACGAGCAGAGAGAGTTTCCCCAGCAGCACGAAACAAGAAAAGGAAAAAGGACGCGAACCAAATATCCTACCCGCTACGTCTACCCTCTGCCTAGACCTACGACGGGATCCAAAGGCAACAACCCAATACTCATCTGTATCTAGATGGAAAGAGGGGGAAAGAGGACCTAGACCTGTGACAAGGCAAAAGGAAAAGGCCGAATGGCCTATAAGGCTACCAAACAGAGACTACTAGGTAGTGACAGACTCAGGGATCAAGTCCCATAGGGCGCAGCACTCAGAAGCAAAATACACGAGTTACAGGTCACGGGATGGATGAAGTCCTGCAAGGCTCAAAACAAGAAAACAAACTACAAAGCCAAAGACTTAGTGTATAGCCCCACTGGGAAACTGGGATTTATTGCACATTCATCCACTCATCCATTCATCAATCAACCAATCGACCAATCAACCAATCAACGAACCAACCAACAAATCAATCAATCAACAAAACAATTCAATCAATCAATCAATCAATCAATCAATCAACCAGTCAGTCAATCAACCAGTCAGTCAATCAACCAGTCGGTCAATCAATCGGTCAATCAATCAGTCAATCAATCAGTCAATCAGTCAATCAATCAATCAATCAATCAATGAATCAATCAACCAATCAAGCGATCATCAAGCAAGTATAGGACATTGAATCACTCACTCAATTGAACAATCATTGACAGGAAAGCAATCGAGTTGTCCGTCTTCTGTCTGCATTTGTCAGCTTATGTTATCCTCTTCTTGCTTGTCGCTCCACAAACAATTCTGCAGTTGCTTTCAACGTCCTCAGTGTGGCAATTCAAATCCCTCCTTCCTCCCTTCCTCCCTTCCTCCCTTCCTCCCTTCCTCCCCTCCTCCCAATCGGATTGAATCGCAAGTCGTTCTGTTCCTCCCTTCGCACCTCGCACTTTTGGCTCATGGGGAGTTCTTTGGCATTTGAACCTGTTCGGTTGTTGTTGTTGTGGCATGGCATATGCATACTGATACACAGGGGAAGCCGAAAACAGTGGGCAGGAGAAAGAAAAAGAGGAGGGTACTACTCCGACTCTTTGGAAGAGACACAAAAGGCGCACGAGGGCACAGAAAGGAAACTACGACGATTCCTTCGAAGCTGAGCTGGATACGTACATGCCTGAGGTGCGAGGCCCGCTGTACGATGCAAGGGGAATGGTTGATCAGCAAATGAGGTATGACGTGGAAGCAGAGCTCAAGAAGGTGCTTGAACATCCAACCGTCGAAGGGTTATTACCAGGTATGTCTGTTAGCTTAGCTTATCTCGTTCTCTGCCTGTGTCGTTCATTTGTTGATTGCAGGTTTTGGACTCTGCTCTTCTCTGATTGTTTTGTCTTTTGTCTTTTTTTTTCTTTTTTTTTTTTGTCTGGAGAATTAGAGGGTCGTCGCTGTCGGGTATGCTCTGTCGGTGATTGGATTTGCATGATCTGTCTGACATCTGTTGATTGATTACATCCTCAGTCTGCCATTCATTTGCTGATTGCATGTTCTCTGTACTCTTGCTCTTCTCTGATTGTTTTTGTTTGCTGGTTCAGTCGAAGGGTTGTTGTTGTTGTTGTTGTCGTGTACGTTCTGTCGCTTTATTCGATTGCTTGATTTGCGTTATCCGTTCTGTCATCGGTTGCTTGATTACATCCTCTGTCTGCCGTTCATTTTTGCTGATTGCAGGTGTTCAGCATTTTTTTTTTTTTTTTTTTTTTTTTTTTTTTTTTTTTTTTTTTTTTTTTTTTTTTTTTTTTTTTTTTTTTTTTGCAGGTGTTCAATTCTGCTCTTCTCTGATTGTTTTTGTTTGCCGGGCAGTTGAAGGGAGGTGGTTGTTGTTGTTGTTGGGTATGTTTTTTTTCCTGATGGGATGTGCATGATCTGTCTGTCATGTGCTGAGTGACCAGCAAACAAACAAGCGGATTAGCTGCTGAGTCAATAATAGCAGTGAAGAACGAAACGATTCGCGTAGAAATACGTTTCCGAACGAAACGATTCGCGTAGAAATACGTTTCCGATTGTTGTTCACTGCCCTCGTCTTGCGCCTGGGATCGGAATCGGTGTCAGTCATGAGATGGGCTTTTCATCTTCAGCAGGGCCTGCCTGCAGCTTGCTTTTCAATTTGTGCTATTCTGGTTTTGCTAGCTTATGCAGGTCCTTGTGGGCTGTCGCTCTTTCACCTCCCATTGCGATACTCTCTCTCTCTCTCTCTGTCTCTGTCTCTGTCTCTGTCTCTGTCTCTGTCTGTCTGTCTGTCTGTCTGTCTCTCTCTCTGTCTCTCTCTCTGTCTCTCTCTGTCTCTCTCTCTGTCTCTCTCTCTCTCTCTCTCTCTCTCTCTCTCTCT